AACGTGGATCCACCAGAGCTGTGTGTCTTGTTAGCTGTTAGTTTTCACTTTTATGTCAGCAACGCAACCAGACTTGTTCTTAGGATCATGAATTACAAACTGCTCACTCGAGAATTGAGATAGTTTTCATGATATAATGGAAGCCAGAGTGCTACTGGTTTTGTGAATCAGCAGGCGAATCTGCGAAAACTCAATTGGGATATCCTTTAGTTGAGACTGGCCAAGTTCTCTACACTCCAATCCATGATGTAGTGCATTGTACTAGTTGTTGCATTGTGTTGATGACTTGCTGTGAAATCTTTATCTCACTGATATCGATTATGCATGTTATTCTTTCGTGGAAGACTTCCTTTTTTTTTATACGAGGTATCATGGAAAAGAATTTTTGCAAAAAAAAAAAAAAACTTCTACTGGTGAGGGAACCGACCTCTTCTGGCTGAGTTCGCTTGCTGAGGTTCTCAACCTTTAACTCTCTCAAAACTCAATAGGTCGGCCAAATCACTCACCGATTTGGCTTGTTGATTTTTTTTAATTTTTTTATAATTTTCTAAGTGATATATAAACAACGATAGGATATCACCTTAAGACACATCATGTAGGAGACTCATCGCCTCGATCACACACATATACTGACATAGTACATCGTACTATACGTACTTATTTAAGCTAACATCCAGGCCAGCTGGTACATGCAGAGTTTTCAGATCACATATAGGCTGTGTTTAGTTGCCGGCGTCCTCCGATCCGTTACTTGAAAGCGCCAACGTCTTCCTCGTCTCCCTTCCGGCTGGCCCTGAAGTACTCCTTCGGGTTACCCTCGAACTTGTCGCGGGAGATCATCACCTTGCCGTCAAAGCCCGGCGCCTTCATTGTCCGGGTCGTCGGCGGATCATCATCTGCCGTCTTGTCCGGGTCTCCACTGCTCTCCCCAATCGCCGACAGCAGGAACAAGGTGCCGGCGGCGGCGGCGGCGATGAAGGCGGTGACGCCGAGGATGCGGCGGCGGGTCGAAGGCTTGTCCGTCTTCTCCTTCTCCTTTACCTCGTTCCTCTTCATCTCGCGGCAAGAGAGAGAGAGAGACAGAGAGAGAGTGGGGGGGGGGGACAGTGGGTAACTGGCTACGGAGATTGGAGAGGCCTCAGAGCATCAGGGCAGCTTTTGTAGTGAGCTCGCGATGGGACCCACATGGCCACAGCCATCATCACTACTCCATCTGTCATGCACTCTTCCGTAGTCTTTAAGTAAAGAGGGATCTTAATCTTTAAAAATTAGTGTAGAGAGATTTTACCGTACCGGAGGAAGTACATGTAAATACTAATGGGCTCATCTTTTGGTTTATACTTATATTTATCAGCTAAAATTTAAATTTTTAACCTTAAATTTGGAGCTGATTTTGAGGTTTTTTTATCGAAGTTTATTTTTTAGTTTTTATTTTTAGATCGCTAAGAACATGTATATAAAAGTTTTAACCACAAATTACTTTCCGTTTGCAAATATGCCGTTTCGCTTATTCCGCGAATAAGCGAAATGATGGCTCCGTAAAATTTTGATATCTCGAGATATCTAATATTTGTAGGTATCAAATTTTATAATAGAAAATATCGTATTGCCTGATATTTTCTTAAGAATGATAAAATTACTGCATCGCTCACATTTCAAGAAAATTTTACTTGGAAAAGAATAAAGTTAAAGTGTCCCATACTATTACTTTTATAAAGAAAGTAAATAAGAGGATAAAGATAAACTTACTTTAGAACAACCTTTAGAATTACTAACTTATTTCAGGGTGTCGGGATGGGAATTCTTTTAGAAATAATACTCCCCCATCCATCTGAGTTGCTCGTATTATTTTTTGCATTATGACCAAAAAGAGCACTAACTTCTCTATGATTCATTTAATCTCACTTGTGATTTCAGCCAATCGATCTCTTTTTTACAAGTTTTTATTAAAATAATATTATTTCTAAAAACTTTTCTGGGGAAGGAGATGGAAGGCCAAAGGGTTAAAGGTGAAAGCTTTTAGTCTTTCGCTGGACCCAGCTTGACTCCTCTCTCCACTATGTGGTTTCTTCGTGGAAGATGAAAAAGCTTTTCGTACGTGGCTGACTCAGCTAGACTCCTCTCCACGATGACCCATTAGACTGTGTTCTTGAGGGCAAGTTTTATAATAAAGGTGATGGCCGCCTTTAATTTTATCCACGTCATTTATCCATAAAATTAAAACTAACTTATATAAATGCATTGCATTTAATACACTAGTCCCAATACACTTACCACTAACACCATTCTCAACCCAATGACTAGGATAGTATCCATAGCATTAAATAAGCTGCCACCTAGGATGAAAAATGATATGACAAGTGAATAAATAAGAAAAGAGAAAAAAATCATGGTTTTTACACAACATTTAAGACATCATGTGAGATAAGTAGCATTAAATCTAAGTATGGAATAGTGATGTTTGCATTGGAAGAGTAGTGTCTAGTATTAGTTTCTTGATGATGTGGAGTTTGTGAAAACTATGTATAGTGTTTTGGGTTAGGAATGTCCTAATCAACCCCTTTCTTTTTCTCTTGTTTCTTAAAGTTTGTGTGGAGGTTGCCCCTTATACGAGAGCAAGGTCAATAGTGCAGCTAGTGGCAAGCTCCAAAATTTTATCATGTCAAGGTAGGTAGAGGTGGCTCCTTCTTTCTCTCTTTTCTCTTCTCTTCTCTCCTCTCCTCCACATCATCATTTAAGTATACATGACACTTTGGAGTTTGTGCTTAAAACCTTATAGTACGTTGGAAACTAACTCCCCCAACACGCAAAACATAACGATAAATTAACGCGTAATTTATTAATTATTAGTTAAAAAACTTGAAAAATAAATTAATATGATTTTAAGTAATTTTTTTAATATTTTTTAAATCAAATCATTTAATAGTTTGAGAAGCGTGTGTATGAAAAATGAGAGAACACAAAAGCCTTCTTCCTAATAGCCAACTAATGCCGCATCAATAAAATGCAGAAAATAGTCGCTTTGTGCAATTTCTTTCGAAAGAGCCGATACTAGGACTGATCAATCCTCCGCCTAACAAGGTTAGGGTAGGGCCGTATAGGATTTGTTCAGTAGTCCCAATATTTTATTCCCAAAACTATGTTTTTTTAACTCCTAAACTAAATATAGAAAGTAAGAAAACTAATCTTTTTAAGAGATGTCCTAAATTTGATTCCCTATAATGAAAAGTGGGCTCTCCCTTTAACTACCAACAGAGAATTAGTTTTTTCTGCTCCTCCCCTACGTGCGCACCGCGTGGCTAGCTTAATTTTTTCTCCCTACGCGCGCGAAAGAGCGATTGGGAAAAAATTCGCTCCTTAAAGTAGGAAACGAGATATCCGGAGTTGGGAACTTGGATTATTAGGAGACAGGTTAGGGATTCTGTTGGATACGATTTTTAACCAAATTTTCCTAAATCTGAGGATAGGGAATAAAATAATAATAAAGCTGTTGGTCATGCTCTAACTTCTCCTTAATCATTTTCTTCACATATGTTTCCCAAACTGCTAAATTGTATATTTTTTATAAAAAGTTATATAGAAAATTTGTTTTAAAAAATCATATTAATTCATTTTTAAAGCTTTTTTAAGCTAATACTTAATTAATCATACATTAAACATCCACTTCGTTTAGAGTGTAACGGGGAAAGAGGGTTCCTAATAGCAAGTCTAATAAGCAGGCGATTAGCCTATATAAGAGGGAAATTATTTTTTTTAGTGCTAATACGATCGTTTGATGTATTATCAGCAGTTGGCAAACCGATGGCAGCCTGAGCTTCTTCACGGCTGTTCTATATATGAACCGAGCTGTTGACGTATAAGCTGAAATAGTGATCGGGTTAGGGACGTTTTAACTTTCAGTCACAAATTGACAAATTATGATTGGCAATTTGGCATTGTACCCCTTGTGGAGACACTGTTGTAGGATAGAAATTCGCAAGCTAAGTCTGCTGTTGTTGTTATTCACATAATTGTGATTGGTGGGTTATCTAAAAAGTATTCGACACAAAACGGAGCCAAGCACAGTCAGATTTTTCTCAATCTCTAATCCTTACCCATAATGACAAGAATAGAGGGCCTCCACGTACAGACTTTCACGATTAATTATAAACTAGTACATACTTTACACTGGTGGAGAAACCCTTTGTAGTCCCGGTTCGTAACCCCCCTTTAGTCCCGGTTTCCAAACCGGGAGTACCAATCCGGGACTAAAGATCGCTATCTTTAGTCCCGGGTGAAATAACCGGGAGTAAAGATCGATCTTTAGTCCCGGTTGGTAACACCAACCGGGACTAAAGATGGCTCAGCCACGTGGCCGGCTGAGCCAACCAACCGGGACTAAAGATCGAGCTGAACTTTTTTTTTTTTTTGCATGGTCCTGTTGCTGCATGGTTTATATATATATATATATATATATATATATATATATATATATATATATATATATATATATATATATATATATAGTAAATTTGTTTGGTGCTCCATGGTGCCCGGGCACCATTGTTGAAATTGAGTATATACCCAATTCAAATGAGTATGAAACTTTTTTAATTATTTAGGTATTAATATTAACTACTTTACTAACTAGTTGAAAGCAAGTTTGAACTGAATTTGAACTTGTTTTTGTTAGATTTTGATTATAGGTATATAGCATCCATACATATAATTAGTTAGGTATGTAATCATGGATTGTAAAATAAAGTTAAATTTGAGTTGTTTTGTTGATAGGTATAGGTATGAATCGAATTCTTATAACTAGGTATATACTCACAATTTGAAAATTTTGAAAAATTTGAGTGATTTTGTGCATTTGAAACCATGGTGCCCGGGCACCATGGTGCCCCATATGAGTGTCCTATATATATATATATATATATATATATATATATATATATATATATATATATATATATATATATATATATATATAAACCATGTATATATATGTTTCAATACATATATATGCATACATATATATATGTATATATATATATTATATTATATTATATGTATATACATGCATAATATATATGTATTTATACATATAAATGTTATGCAAATGCATATGTATATAGATATATATATGACCAAAATATATTTACATTATAGAAAATGTGTACACATGCATATAGAAACATATGTAGTCATGTATTAATTACAATCCATTATATGTCCTAGCTAGCTACGATTTCGACGTAGTAGTAGTCGCTGCTAGCTCAGAAGCTACGGACCGGTGAATTGTGTTTCCGTCGTAGTAGAATTCACCCTTGGGATCAAGGATTTCTTCGTTGATGAATC